AGTCTTGTTGAGTCTTATGATGTTAGAACATGTTGGAAGTTACTGATAAAAATGAAAAATATGCAAATCTTTCAACAAAAACTTACTGAATATTTACTTCTTGTCAACCATGTACAAGACTCTGGGGACACAAGTCTGCACCAAAATGAAAAGGGTCTTATGTTCTAAAAGATCAGAAAGATGTTAAACAATCACATTCCTTAATATTTAATAAGGTTGCTGAAGAAAAGAAACAAAGGTTCAAGGAGTTTTAATTTCTAGATGTTTTAGTGAAGGAAAAATATTCGTTTAAAACCAAGGTTTTTTTCTGATTACGTAATAAATACATTTCTCAAAAAATTTATTTTCATCCAAATGAGGGACCCACACTTCATTCATGAGGGACCTACGAACTAGATAAACCTGGCAAACAGAAACCCACTGTATTTCTGGCTTTTGTTGTTATTGCTTTTTTTTAAGCTAGTTTATTCATTATTTTTCATTGATAAAAAATGAATATATTTATCATGTACAACATGATGTTTTAAAATATATATACATTGTGGAATAGCTAAATTGAACTAATTAACACATGCGTTACCTCACATGCTTATCATTTTACTGTCTTAGCATTTTTCAAGTATACAATATGCTGTTATTAACCACAGTCACCATGTTGTACAACAGACTCTTGAACTTATTTCTCCTGTCTAATTGAAATTTTATAACCTTTGACAAACATCTCTCTATCTCCACACCTTCACTCCAGCCCCTGGTAACTACTATTTTACTCTCCTTTACTTTTTATGAGTTCAGCTTTTTTATAATAGCTCTTCATACTGGTGAGAACATGTGATATTTGTCTCTCTGTGTTTGGCTTAATTTGCTTAGCACAATACCTCCTGGATTCATCCATGATGTGGCAAATTACAGGATTCCCTTATTTTTAAGGCTGAATAGATTTTCTTTATCCATTTATCCATTGCTGGACGGTTAAGTTGACTCCATATCTTGGCTATTATGAATAATGCTACAATAAACATGTGAGTGCAGATATCTCTTTGACATACTGATTTCACTTCCTTTGGTTATATATTTGGTAGTGGGATGACTAGATCATAGGTAGTTCTTTTTTTTTTTTTTTAATTCTTGAGAAACTACCATACTGTTTTCCATAGCAGCTGTACTAATTTAAACTCCCACAATCAGTGTACAAGGGTTCCTTTTTTTTCCCCATATCCTCCCTAACATTTATTTTTCACCTGTTTTTATAATAGCCATTCTAATGGGGGACAGGTGATACCTCATTTAGTTTCACTTGCACTTCTCTGGTAATGAGTGATGCTGAGCATTTATATATATATACCTGTTGACCATTTTAGGTCTTCTTTTGAGAAATGTTTATTCCTGTGCTTTGCCGATTTTAATTGGATCATTTGTTTCCATGCTAATAGGTTGTTTGAGTTCTTTAGATACTTAGAATATTAACTTACCAGATACATGGTTGCATTTTTTTTTCTACCATTTTGTAGGCTATCTTTCTGTTTCAATTATTTTCCTTGCCGTTTAGAGCTTTCTAATTTGACATAATCCCATTTGTCTATTTTTGCTTTTCTTTTCTATGCTTTTGGTATCTTAATCACCCCCCAAAAATCATTGCCCAGACCAGTGTTATAGAGATTGTTCCCCATGCTTATGGCTTTCAAAGGGGATCCTAGAACTTTCTCTTCTTGCTTCTCTGTGTTTGAATACTGCTCAGGGGATACTCAGCTCCAGTACCATAGATGAGCCTACACAAAATTCTTAGCTCAGCTAAGGAAAGTCGTGCTCAACCAAGGAACAGAACAACCTGCCTTTTAAGTTAGAAGTGTCCAACAATTATTAATTTCTCTCTTAGTCATCTCATCTACACTAAAAAAAAAAAAATGTCAAAGACAGAGCTAATAATTTTCCAATTTTCTAGTCACGAAAGCTTCTTGTAAATGTTTATGTTTAAAAAAAAAAAGCCACTGTGGCTAATCATCTCATTTAAAAGTCCTATTAAATACTTGGACATTCACATGTATAGGCTGAAGTATATTGGCAAGGAATTGACACTCATAGTTCCCCAAAGATCTTTTGCTTTGCCTGGCTGACTCTGCAACTCCAATAAAGTGCAGCCAGACTCCAGTAAAAGAAATAAAGTGAACACTTTTCCTCCTAGTACCTTTGCTGCCGTTTGCATTTCACCACTCGGCTTATAGAGATGAAATCTAATACTTGGCAGGCACTGCTTGTACAAATGAAAGATAAATTTTTCTTCCAGATAGGACAGATCAGCGAGACTCATAAAATATTAATGATGAAAGCTCTAGGAATTATATATATCCCTGACCATAGGTTCTTCACCGTCAGTTTAATGCATTTTTTTTTCTGCAAGATTCCCATCAAGAATTATATGAAGAGAAAATAATACATGATTTAAGATTCAAATGAGCATAGATTTGAGGGAAAGATAATCTTTCTGTCTTTCATTTTCTTTCATGTTTTGTGTCCCAAATCAGCAATACATTTTGCTGAGTGATGTTGTGTTGTCAATTTGATTCTTGAAGCTGTTCATGTGCTCATGAAGGAAACTGCTTTTATGAGAAAAATACAGGAAGTAAGAATTTCTTATTAATTAATTTAACATACAATTTAGCAATAAATGACATTTATATAATTGAAACAATTCATATATCTCAAAATTAGAAATTTATTGAACATGTATTCAAAAATATATATTAATGAAGACATTCACTTTTACTTGTCAGATTTTGTTATCATGAACATCTTTCCATAACCATTACAAATCAATGGAAAAAGATAACATATATATAATTTAACCAGAAGAAATTACTTTTGCTTAATTACTTTTTATTTAACTGAATATCTGGTTTAATATATTGCTCTCTTCTCAGGTACATGATATTTTTCTTCAGTGTTTATGAGAAATTGTCAGCCAAATATAACCTTCATAAACTACTAATGGGATTCTAAGGTGCTGTGCCTTCAGTGTGTTAAAGTTTCTGGTTAGTGATACCCATATCAGTCTTTTAGAAAACTTATGAACTCGTTGTAAAAAATCAGATGCTGTTAAAATGTATTCTGAATTCTATTTAAAGGCATATGACTAAAAGACCTAGTACAAGACTTCTGGTCATGAACATTGTTATAATATTCTCAAAACCAGTGCTGCTTCTCCTGATTGCCTGATCATCTGATGATCACCTCTAATGTTTAGAAACTTTTCATCGATGTGCAAAACATGTAAGATTGAAAACATAAACATAAACCAAACATCTTGCTGTGACCAAATACCCAATCCTTGTCTTGAATTCAATCCATTGTTACTACACCTTTCTGAATAGCAAATTTCTTGGGATCTACATTTGAATCTCCTTAAGTTCTGCTTTCTTTCTGCCCCATGCCAATGACTGAAATCTGGTTTTACGTCCCAGCCTCTGCATTCTGTGATATAACTAATTGGACATGGATGAACCTTGAAACCATCATTCTCAGCAAACTGACACAAGAGAAAAAAATCAAACACCGCATGTTCTCACTCATAGGCGGGTGTTGAACAATGAGAGCACATGAACACAGGGAGGGGAGCACTACACACTGGGGTCAGTTGGGGGGAAATAGGGGAGGGACAGTGAGGGGTGGAGAGTTGGGGAGAGAGAGCATGGGGAGAAACGCCAGATGTAGGTGAAGGGGAGGAAGGCAGCAAATCACACTGCCATGTGTGTACCTATGCAACAATCTTGCATGTTCTTCACATGTGCCCCAAAACCTAAAATGCAATAAAAATAATAAATAAATAAATAAATAAATAAATAAATAAATAAATAAAACAAAACTAATTGGCTGTGAAGAGAACTTCATGTTAAAAAGTGTGTTTTTGTGTCAAGAGAATCCCAAAATATCTACTACTGTTTCAAAATGTCAGTCTCAATTGCAACTATTCTTGTTGTCTGTGGAAACTACAGAAGAAGGCAGAGGAAAAATGTGGAAATCCCACTGGAGGTGTTGTTGACCAGAGAAGCTGACCATGGCACATTTAAGTAGGGAGAGAAATGCTAATGGAAATATCAGGAGAGCTGAAGGAATCTGTGCCTCAAGAGCATATAAATGTTCACAATTGGCTCTTGTCTGAAAAGATTAATGTTTACATAGCATCGAACTTCAAAAAACAGCATAATTGGTTCTACTCAGAGGTACTTAAATAACCCAGAGTAGCACTGAATTTTTTAAAATATAAATATATGTTTATATATAGTGGGAAAAAGCAATGTAAAATTAGAATATATTTATTTTCTCAAATTACCTTCGATTAAAGAAAATACATATAATTTTAAAGGCATGTTCTCTTTAGAGAATTTTCTTTACTTATTTATTGTCTTATACCTGCTCAGTATTTTTCTGAATGCCCTTGTTAACACAATCTGGCAGACATTCAATAGCAAACTGTGTTCCAGGCAATGAATTTATACTGTTGTTGCAGGAACAATCTCTTGAATGTTGTAACCCTTTATATATGATGGAAAAATCAATAACATGAATAAATGTGTAACAAACTAGCCTGTGTACTTTTTTGGTGAAGTGAAGCTCAGTAATATGGACTGAAGTACTTTCTAAAGGAAAATAACCCTATGCTTAAGTGGAATATTATAAAGTATACTTATTTACTAACACAGACATCAATAGTAATATTAAAAAGATACTTATATATGATCTCTATGCTGTTATATATAATTCAAAAATTTAATTTGATACTTTTAATATAAAGGTATGTATATTCTTTTGATATGGATATACAGAGAAATCAATAAGATATTTAGTCTATATTTTCTATTAATTTAGAAATATTTTAAAATTGTAATCATAGGGCAGTTAGGTGAAAAAATAACAAATTAGTACACGTAATACTTTTTATTTTACTTTTATCAGTAAGAAACCAATGGGTTGTGTTAATAATATTAGGCTTTCTTTTTTTCCAGGGTATCGACGGTTTCTGTACAGCACAGATTATGACAGCTTCTTTCTTAAGGTGAGAGTAGATGTCACTCATGGTAGTATTCAAAGGGGATACACTTTTTGTTAATGCATTATCAAAAACATTTCATAGGTAAAATTATCATGGAGTAGCTACAAATGCCTAAATTGAGAGTATTTTCTCTTCAATTTTTTGTACATAATTCTATTTGTTCAACAGTATTGCTTTCATGATAAACTCTAAACAAGATTTCTTGAATATTTCTGAGTACAAGTCATGTAACTTGATACTTTGATTAAAACTTGGAAATGTGTTAATCATATAAGAAAATCAAGTTAGGGAACAACAACAAAACATTCTAATACAACAAATACAATTAAGGCATCTCTGTGAGAGTACACACACTCATGCAGGTACACACACACACAGACACACATGTACAGAGGAGGATAATTAATATTTGTAACTTTCTCCTAAAATACATTAGACTGTTTCAATTTTCAAGAGCCCTCCAGATTCTTATGTTAATGACTAGTTTTGCTCTATCTTCTTTATTACCATAAGAGTTAGCAATTTTTATTATTGTATTATAAGTTAGTTATATATGATTTATTCACACATTTACACTTTTTCCCACCATTTCTTATCAGACTTCACACCTTATCTAACTGCTAAAAGTATATACTTTATCATTTCCTTTAGTAAGGAATTGTCAAGTTTTCTTTGTCTGAAAGTATTTTTATTTTACTCTTACTCTTGAAAAATAATTTCCCCCAATGTGAATCTAGATTGTCAGTGGTTTTGCTTGCAACACTGAAGACTTTATTATATTGATTCCTGGATTCAATTAATGAAAACTCAATTGTCTATTTAGTTGTTATAACAGACTGGGCAATTTGCATTTCTTCTTGCTACTTTTAGAGTCTTCTCTTAATCTTTAGTGATCTGAAACTGGTTGTAATATGAATTGATATCAATACTATGTATCCTACTTTAAATTTATTGGCCTTCTTGAAAGTACCAACAGATGTTTTCCAGCAATTCTGAAACTCCTCAGTCAGTATCTCCTTTAATGTAATCTTTTCATTTCTTTATTTTCCATATCTCTCCCTATTTCCACATCATTTCATTATTACTTTGAATCTATATCCAGTTCACTGATTTTATCTGCATTTCTGATATACTATAAATTAATCTATTCATATTCTAATTTTTATTAGTATTTTTTTCAAATATTATTTTAGGTTCATGAAGCACATGTGCAGGTCTGTTACATGGATGAATTGTGTGTCACTGTTGTTTGGTGTACAAATGACCATGTTCATTCAGGAAGTAAACATAGTACCCAATTAGTAGTTTCTCAACCTTCACTCCCTACCTCCCAACACCCCTACTCTAGTAGTCCTTGTTGTCTGTTGTTCATATCTTTGTGTCCATGTGTACTCAGTGTTTAGCCCCAAATTATAACTAAAAACTCAGAGTATTTGGTTTTCGGTTCCTGTGCTAGTTCACTTAGGATAATGGCCTCTAGCAGCATCCATGGTGCTGCAAAGGACATGATTTTGTTCTTCTTTGTGGCTATGGAGTATTCCATTGGTGTTAAGAAATTCTGTTTGAGTCATTTAAAAATTTAGTCATCTTTTTTTTTCTTGTTCTTATGTTCAATCCAAGCCTCTGTTTTATTTGTGATTCTATTTACACTCAGTGTTGTTCATGCTCAGTTTCACTCATGGAATCTTATTTTCCATGTGTGTTTGTTTTTGCTGTTTGTTTTAACTATGATTGTACACACATAAAATGTTATTTATGAAAATTATTTGAGATGAGACTTGAAGTTCTACTGTTAAATTTTTTGCTTCTGCCAGTTGCCACAGGACAATATCAACCTAAGACAAATTTATACTAAAGGCTTCACTTTAGGTTTCTGAGCAAACAAATAGTATGAATTCATTCCCATCTCAGGTCTTTAGTAAGGATTAATTTATTTTCGTAAGTTCTTAGTTTTGGTTTTATTTTCTCCAGACAGCACTAATGAATGAATATTTCTTTTCAGACCCTTTTTCCCCAAAAGGTTTGTTTCTTATTTTATGAGGGAGAGCCTTTTCTATTATATTTTCCACTATGGGTGGGCCATAAGGTTTATCTCCTGCACTCTGTTCAACATGAAGCAGTCACAATGTACTCTCAAACATTCTAAGGTTTGGTAGGAATTTTCACACAGAAAGCTGGCTTTGGTGATTACTTTACATCTCATGGTTTCTGCTTTTATTTTTATCTTAGTATTTATAGAATTTTTTCTTTCATGAAAGATGAAAGATTCTTATAATATGCATATGTATGTGTGTATACATAATTTTATTTTAATTGTTTTTCATCAGTAACTACTCTTGCTAGACAGATCCAATATGCAGGCCTGAAGCAGAAAACTAAATGTTTTTGATTTCTAAAGATGTTAATATTTGATTCTTTACATTTTGCAAATAGTAATGAAGAAAGAAATTGTAGTTATTTCTCTTTATAAACAACTGCTATGCCCAGAATGAAGAAATGTTGCAGAAAAATAGTACAGCAGTTCTTAAACATTTTGCTTTCAGAATATCAGTTTGTTAATAATTATTAAGGGCTCCAATGAGCTTTATTTTGGAAATTTTCATCTATTAATATTTGCTGTATTAGAAACTAAGATAGAAATTTAAAAATATCTATTTCCTTTTCTGCTAACAGCAAATCCATTACTTGTAACAGAAATAGTATATTTTATGAAAAATAACTAAATATTTTAAACAAAACAAAAATTAATCAGAGGTATAGCACTGCTTTGTACTTTAGCTAATCTTCTTAATATATGACTCAATAGAAAACTCAATAGAATCCTGCAGGAGTGTCATACCTGCTTCTGTATCTATTCTGTTTTGATATCAAACATCATGCAGCCTTTGAAAAACTTCACTGTGAATGGTGACAGAATGAGAATTAAGATAAATAATATCTTAGTATCATTGTGGATATAGTTTTAATATTGCAGCTCTGGAAAATTGCTTGAGACCTCCAGGAGACCCCAAATCACACTCTGAAAACTACTGACTTAATAGTTTACAACATTTTGTCACATGAATCTATAGGTTGCCTGGGTAATTCTATTGAATCTGGTAATTCAATCTGGGCTGGACTTGACTCATCTCACGCCGCTTACTAATGTGCTTCTAGTCAGCTATTGGGTGGTCTTGAGGCTGGCTGCTCTAGAATGATCTTGGCTAAGATTATTAGGACCTCACTCCATATGAACTCTGTACCTGTGCCAAACATGCCTTGGTCTGTTCCCATGGCAGTTAGAAAAGGGTTCCACAAGGAAGAGTTGAAGTATGAAATGATTCCTGAGTCCTAGGCTTAAAGTTGTAGGCTGTCAGTTCCACTGCATTCTTTTGGTGCAAACATATGAAAAAGTCAGTTTAAACTCATGTGTGGGTAACAGGTTTCAACCTCTTGATGAGAGAAGTTACAAAGTAATACCAGAAATGTGGTACATACAGAGGCATGAATGACACAAGGCATTCTGTCAATCAATCTTCCACAGCATCTTAGATTCTCAACACAAAAACAAGATAAAAAGCTTTCTTTCCTCGTCTTCAAATGATTTAACTCCACTGTGGATACTATAGAGATCTGTAGGGACATGTCAAGAAGTAATACTGCTGTCAGCCTAAAATTCATTAGTTTGTCTATACACTGTAAATGCTCAGGTATAACCATAACCTGGGATATACCAGGCCCTGAGAGACAGGATCACACGAGTAAAATGTATGATACATTGATACTGATGACAATATTAACATCACTATTTTTAACTCATAATAAAAAACATAAATATTACTTGAGATGGAATTTTGTGTGGGCATAATCAGAAAAATCTCTCACTATAGTCAAGTAACACCAAGCATGTTATGAATATGCTGTCATTAATTAACTTTTACAGAGACCAGAAAGAGAAAAAATACATATTTTGGGCACATTTCTTATTTATGCATACACAAATATAGAAATCAGATTGTTGTTGTTCTCTGATTATCAAAAGAGACAATGGGAGATTAGAGAAATAAAAATTTAATAACATCAAGCTAACAAAGCTGTATCTAATTATAAAAATTTGGGTTTTACTGTTGTGTTTTCTTTTTCTAACATAATGGAAAATGCTTAACACATGTATACTACGTTTCTCTCCCCTCAAAGATAATCATACCATTAAGTGGAGAAATACCAAAATTGTATAGCATGGCTCCCTTTCTTCTGGATCAGATGTTTCATATTCCTCAAATGTCTAGAGCAGGCATCCCCAAACTATGGCCCGCGGGCCACATGCAGCCCCCTGAGGCCATTTATCCAGCCCCCTGCTGCACTTCAGGAAGGGGCACCTCTTTCATTGGTGGTCAGTGAGAGGAGCACAGTATGTGGCAGCCCTCCAATGGTCTGAGGGACAGTGAACTGGCCCCCTGTGTAAAAAGTTTGGGGACGCCTGGTCTAGAGTCATGCAGGTAATGTAAATAAATCACATAGTCCAGCAGTAAAATGTCCAGGACTTGTGGAGAGAGGAGTGTAGACAACTAGGATAAGCCTTCCCGATATACACAGTATTAGCTGTTACTTAGGTCCAGCCAATTGCTGCATGTTAGGAAGGAAAATCCATTATTACTATATGTTTTCATTTTAAAAACAAAAGAAGGTTGTCTCAGCAAGATGTCTGACTAGACACAGCCAGGAGGAATATCTGCTACCAAGTGACTAGGACATAGGGAAAACTGGCACACTATGAGCAGATCTTCAGAGGGAAGGTATTGAGGATGGACAGAGGGAGGACACAGACCCTGGGCTGAAGGAGGAGGAGGCTAGGAACCCTGAGTGGGGCTACCATGCACCACAACTCATTCCCAGCCCCCAACAACTCCTAGGGAAGGGGTGAGTTGAACAGGTGAGGAGCAAGCTGCCCTCCACATGGACCTCTGGAATCCTGGCTATCAGAGATACCAAAACACCCATGGACACTTGAACTGGAAGGGAGA